GGAGACAACTAATCTCCCAAGGCGAACAGGCTCAAAAGATTATTGCCAGGATCAAAGCTGAAGAACAAAATAGGCAGGATCAGCCTGAGCAATCGGACCAAGCCCAACCTTCTCCTGAGCAATCGGACGAAGCCCAATCTTCTCCTGAGCAATCGGACCAAGCTCAATCTTCTCAGTCAGAACCGGAAGATACTACGACCATTGAAGCCAATCATCTTCAGTTATTGAAGCCAATCATCTTCAGTAGGATGGCAGGTCCAACAATTATCACGTTAACAATTACCTCTGATAGTCAACTTAATTAGATAGTGGCCCGTTAGGCGATGTGCCATGTCTACCCTTTTCCCCTGCACTTGTTCAAGACTGGGGGTTGGTTTATTTGTAGTTGTCATGTTCAATAGAACACCTCTGTCAACCACAAAATCCATCAAAACTATCATGTTAACAGTTACCTCTGATAGTCTAGTCTCTTTTCCTCCAAATTCCCCTACCAATCCTCTTCAATAGGATGGCGGGTCCACCAAAACTATCACGTTAACCGTCACCTCTGATAGTCATTTTCCTCCAAATTCCCCCACCAATCCTCTTCAAGTAGGATGGCGGGTCCACAAAACTATCACGTTAATAGTTACCTCTGATAGTCAAACTCATCAGATAATGGCCTACCAGGTGATGTGCCTCTATTCTGACTTCATGGATAGTGCCCCACTACTAAGTGATGTGCCTTGTCTACCTCTTTTTATTCCCCTGCTAAGTCTTAATCAAGACTGGGGGTTGGTTACCTAGAATCCACTGGATTAAGAGTAACGAATCTTTCACATCGTCGAGTTAACATTACACTTCTGACGATCATCATCCCCACAGAGTATGCATTCAACTTGCATCACTCCTAATTTGTCACGTTAACAATACACCTCTGTCAATCAACTTATCAATCCTTGTCAATAGGATGATAGGCCGCCGCGTCGGCCGGTCCTCGCCCAATTTCGAAGCTTCAGGCAAAGTATAGCACCTTATTGCAAAGTATAGCACCTTATGGCCAAAGTATAGCACCTTATTGCAAAGTATAGCACCTTATGGCCAAAGTATAGCACCTTATTGCAAAGTATAGCACCTTATGGCCAAAGTATAGCACCTTGTTGTAAAGTATAGCACCTTATGGCCAAAGTATAGCACCTTGTTGTAAAGTATAGCACCTTATGGCCAAAGTATAGCACCTTATTGCAAAGTATAGCACCTTATGGCCAAAGTATAGCACCTTATTGCAAAGTATAGCACCTTATGGCCAAAGTATAGCACCTTATTGCAAAGTATAGCACCTTATGGCCAAAGTATAGCACCTTACGCTCTCTGGAAATTCTGAGCTCCGAGTCGTCGCGACCATTTCAGTTTTTTTCCGCGCGACGAGAACACTCGGCGACCGACGCGTCGTCGTAATAGGCCGATCATCCGCCGCGTCGGCCGGTCCTCGCCTAATTTCGAAGCTTCAGGCAAAGTATAGCACCTTATTGCAAAGTATAGCACCTTATGGCCAAAGTATAGCACCTTATTGCAAAGTATAGCACCTTATGGCCAAAGTATAGCACCTTACGCTCTCTGGAAATTCTGAGCTCCGAGTCGTCGCGACCATTTCAGTTTTTTTCCGCGCGACGAGAACACTCGGCGACCGACGCGTTGTCGTAATAGGCCGATCATCCGCCGCGTCGGCCGGTCCTCGCCCAATTTCGAAGCTTCAGGCAAAGTATAGCACCTTATTGCACCAATTTCGAAGCTTCAGTCAAAGTATAGCACCTTATTGCAAAGTATAGCACCTTATGGCCAAAGTATAGCACCTTACGCTCTCTGGAAATTCTGAGCTCCGAGTCGTCGCGAACCATTTCAGTTTTTTTCCCCGCGGCGAGAACATTCGGCGACCGACGCGTCGTCGTAATAGGCCGATCATCCGCCGCGTCGGCCGGTCCTCGCCCAATTTCGAAGCTTCAGGCAAAGTATAGCACCTTATTGCAAAGTATAGCACCTTATGGCCAAAGTATAGCACCTTATTGCAAAGTATAGCACCTTATTGCTAAAGTATAGCACCTTATGGCCAAAGTATAGCACCTTATGGCCAAAGTATAGCACCTTACGCTCTCTGGAAATTCTGAGCTCCGAGTCGTCGCGACCATTTCAGTTTTTTTCCGCGCGACGAGAACACTCGGCGACCGACGCGTCGTCGTAATAGGCCGATCATCCGCCACGTATGCTTTTGAATATTTTCAAATCAGTTTGATTGTGATCTTCATGGACCTATTATAGGTTGATTACGTTTTGGTGGTGAAGATCAAAAAACAAACTATTTTGATTATTGTAAATTTTGTGTAACTACTTCAGTTATTATGGGTTGATTATGTTTTGGTGGTGAAGATCAAAAAACAAACTATTTTGATTATTGTAACTTTTGTGTAATTACTTCAGTAGTTTTAATGTTATTTCAGTTAGTTTTATTGTTATATCTATTTGTGTTGTGGTGTAACTACTTTAATTAGCTTGTGTATCCGAAATCGAGTGTTCTGTCGCGGAGAAAAAAACTGAAAAAAACCGAAATCGAGTGTTCTGTCGCGGAGAAAAAAATCCGAAATCGAGTATTCTGAGCTCCGAGTTGTCGCGAACCATTTCGGTTTTTTTCCCCGCGGCGAGAACACTCGGCGACCGACGCGTCGTCGTAATAGGCCGATCATCCGCCGCGTCGGCCGGTCCTCGCCCAATTTCGAAGCTTCAGGCAAAGTATAGCACCTTATTGCAAAGTATAGCACCTTATTGCAAAGTATAGCACCTTATGGCCAAAGTATACGCGTTGTCGTAATAGGCCGATCATCCGCCGCGTCGGCCGGTCCTCGCCCAATTTCGAAGCTTCAGGCAAAGTATAGCACCTTATTGCAAAGTATAGCACCTTATGGCCAAAGTATAGCACCTTATTTGCAAAGTATAGCACCTTACGCTCTCTGGAAATTCTGAGCTCCGAGTCGTCCAGAACCATTTCAGTTTTTTTCCCGCGGCGAGAACACTCGGCGACCGACGCGTCGTCGTAATAGGCCGATCATCCGCCGCGTCGGCCGGTCCTCGCCTAATTTCGAAGCTTCAGGCAAAGTATAGCACCTTATTGCAAAGTATAGCACCTTATGGCCAAAGTATAGCACCTTATTGCAAAGTATAGCACCTTATGGCCAAAGTATAGCACCTTACGCTCTCTGGAAATTCTGAGCTCCGAGTCGTCGCGACCATTTCAGTTTTTTTCCGCGCGACGAGAACACTCGGCGACCGACGCGTTGTCGTAATAGGCCGATCATCCGCCGCATCGGGTCCTCGACCAATTTCGGAGCTCAGAATTTTCAGAGAGCGTAAGGTGCTATACTTTGGCCATAAGGTGCTATACTTTGCAATAAGGTGCTATACTTTGCCTGAAGCTTCGAAATTGGGCGAGGACCGGCCGACGCGGCGGATGATCGGCCTATTACGACGACGCGTCGGTCGTCGAGTGTTCTCGTCGCGTGGACAAAAACTGAAATGGTCGCGACGACTCGGAGCTCAGAATTTCCAGAGAGCGTAAGGTGCTATACTTTGGCCATAAGGTGCTATACTTTGCAATAAGGTGCTATACTTTGCCTGAAGCTTCGAAATTGGGCGAGGACCGGCCGACGCGGCGGATGATCGGCCTATTACGACGACGCGTCGGTCGCCGAGTGTTCTCGTCGCGCGGAAAAAAACTGAAATTGTCGCGACGACTCGGAGCTCAGAATTTCCAGAGAGCGTAAGGTGCTATATTTTGGCCATAAGGTGCTATACTTTGCAATAAGGTGCTATACTTTGCCTGAAGCTTCGAAATTGGGCGAGGACCGGCCGACGCGGCGGATGATCGGCCTATTACGACGACGCGTCGGTCGCCGAGTGTTCTCGTCGCGCGGAAAAAAACTGAAATGGTCGCGACGACTCGGAGCTCAGAATTTCCAGAGAGCGTAAGGTGCTATACTTTGGCCATAAGGTGCTATACTTTGCAATAAGGTGCTATACTTTGCCTGAAGCTTCGAAATTGGGCGAGGACCGGCCGACGCGGCGGATGATCGGCCTATTACGACGACGCGTCGGTCGCCGAGTGTTCTCGCCGCGGGGAAAAAAACTGAAATGGTTCTGGACGACTCGGAGCTCAGAATTTCCAGAGAGCGTAAGGTGCTATACTTTGGCCATAAGGTGCTATACTTTGCAACAAGGTGCTATACTTTGGCCATAAGGTGCTATACTTTGCAACAAGGTGCTATACTTTGGCCATAAGGTGCTATACTTTGCAATAAGGTGCTATACTTTGCCTGAAGCTTCGAAATTAGGCGAGGACCGGCCGACGCGGAGGATGATCGGCCTATTACGACGACGCGTCGGTCGCCGAGTGTTCTCGTCGCGCGGAAAAAAACTAAAATGGTCGCGACGACTCGGAGCTCAGAAATTTTGATGGTGCTAGCTTCAAAATTGCGCGAGGACCCCCCGTCACGGTGGATGATTGGTCAATAAACACGTCACGTAGGTCGTCGAGTGTTTGCATTGCCCTAAAAAAACTGATTTGACTTATCACAATAAGTTGCTGAATTTCCAGCGACCAAAAGGTGCTATATTTTATCGATAAGGTGCTATACTATTGCCATAAGGTGCTATACTTTATAATAAGGTGCTATACTTTATCAATAAGCTGCTATACTTTCCCATAAAGTGCTATACTTTATCAAAATCTAAAAATTGAGCGAGTACCCCTCGTCGAGGTGGATAATTGGTCACGCGACACATAATATTGCCCAATAGGCTGTAGTTAACACAACCTACCATCAAAATTTCTTCAGTTCAATCAGTGCATCAGTTCATTACAGATATTCATATCTATCAACCACTAAACTCAAGTGCATAACATTGAATGAAAATAATCCATGAAGATTGAATGGAAATAATCCAAAATCACCACTATCGAAACGTTGTATACATTTCTACTAGATACATTTCTACTAGTTACACTGATAAATTTGATACAACATGATACATTGGATAGTGCATTTGATACAATATGCACACAAATCATCTATATATACATAATATAGAAAATTTCATACAACACGATACATTGGATACTACTTGGTACATCATATTGCAGGCTGTAGTTGATTTGCCGTTTGGGTTGCAATGTGACAGCAATGCGAAGATCTGATCGAATGCCAATAGTGGGGGATTCTCTCATGTATTTGATTGGAAAGTTAGTGTGCATTGACGAATGGTTTCTGATTGAGGGGTAGCTGTGCGTTACGTTAGGTGTGCCATTGATGATGGAATATATGTATCCCACCATAAAAATGTTACAATCTACGCTCCTGCACAAATAAATGTCACAATCAATGATTGCATGATAAGAAAATTTTATTAACTGTCAATTCTAACTTATCGTGCATTTCCAAAGCAAAATACATGAAAGTAATATCGAGAAATGCTAGCATAAGAGGCTTCATACCACTTTCAAAGGAATCATCTATAAGCTTTTATGCAATATCAATTCTAACTTATCGTGCATTTCCAAATCAAAATACATGAAAGTAATATCGATTTTGATGTCGTAATGCTTCGAATTATCAAAACCCACAAGAACAATAAGAATCTGAAGGACCACCAAGCAATAAGAAAATTAGAATTTTTATGTTACAACTCGTCACCATTCCCAACACCAACAAGTAAGAATAATCACCTAGTAACTTTGTACGCTTGCAAAAAGAGGGAGGATTTTCACATCAATCATCAACTCTAAGGAAAATTCTATTCATAAATGCAAGCAAGAACTATAGTTCTAATTTTAAAACATAATGTCCAGAGAGGAACCATAGTTATGTAAGTCATGGTTGATATCTCATGAATGTACATATCTTATGAGCAATTGAGCATCAAGTAAAGGTTACCTTCACTTTTTCCAATAGCTTTTTGGCATCAGCGTTATTTTTGAAGCGATCACGGACAGGCTGCAAGTTGTAGGTTCATGAGATTTTAGAATGACAGAACAATAAATTAGAATTTGAGTAACCAACAATCATCAAAATCAAATATTGATAAGAGAGAACACTAAGCGTAAATTCAACAAACAGGTGGTGGGCAAAGAGTTGAACTAACCTGACTTGCAATGGAGAACAACATAACCCACCTCCTTCTGCCGAACCCACTTCCTTTGAGCGCCAAGGATCCTCACCATCGTCGTCGGCTTATGCGAAAGCAGCTCCTTACAAAGCCAGGCGGTCTTCGACCTCCGCCATTACTCCGAGTGCTCCTCAAGCTCCGTCCACTGGCGGCAATGACAAGTGCTTCAGGTTGATGGGCGAACTACAGGGAGTCAATGTCGAAATCATTGGTGGGCTATTCATCTACTTCAAGGTCGACGGTGGTGGGTGACGTGGCGGCGAGGGGAGATAGGGGCAGTGGATGCAGAGGTTGATGGGCTTGAGGGAGGAGGGGAAGTGAAGGGAGGGAAGAGGAGGAGGAGGGGAGAGGGAGAGATCTCTTCTGAGCTCAGATGGAGGAGGAGGGGAGAGGGAGAGATCAGTTGGGGATGAAGGGTAGTTTAGGATTTTTTAAATTTTTTGGATAAATACAGTACAAATAATGGGTGTATTGTACATTTAGGTTTAAAAATAAGTGGGATGTGATATAGTGGGTCTATTGATGTTTTGAAAAGTGAATGAGTTTTTAAATAAGTTAGGGTTAAAAGAGAATTTTCCCTTATTAATATCTTTGTAGTCAACCCGCTCCTCTTTTCCTCCCCTCACAAAAGAATCTCCCAGGATGTGTCGTTCCCATCGCTACCCCTCAGCCACGTAAATACAAAACCCACCTCTCAAACAAACCGAGCCCTCCCCCGCTCTCTCTCTCTCTCTAAAGTCTTCCTCTTCCTCTCTCCTCACCCAAAAAAAAAAAACCCAAAATCCCAAATGGGCGGTCGTAGAAGGCCCACACCACGGGTTCGGCACCGACCAGTCAGTGTGGAAGCACCTCGTCCCTCACCTCCTCGACGAGTACCGCGTCGTCCTCTACGACAACATGGGGGCTGGGACCACGAACCCCGATTACTTCGACTTCGAGAGGTACTCCACGCTCGAGGGCTATGCCCTTGATCTTCTTTCGATTCTTGAGGAGCTCAGGATTGAGAGTTGTATCTACGTCGGCCACTCTGTCTCGGCGGCGGTTGGGGCCCTGGCGTCGATCTCCAGGCCGGATTTGTTTCGGAAGATCGTCATGCTTGGTGGGTCGCCGAGGTTAGTTGATTTTGGGATACCCATTTGGGATTTTTGGAGTTTTTATTGGGTTTTTTTTTTGTAGATGATTGATGATGCCTTGTTAGAGCATCTACAACAGCTTCCTCATTTCTCATTTTTGAAGAATATAGTTAGGTTTTTTCTCTAACAGATTTTCCATCCCATTCCCCAAAATAGGGATGGAAAAAAAAAATAGGAAAGTTTCCTCAAATCTGCAGCATTCTCTAAATTTTTGGAGGAAAAAAAGGATTCTTCAAAATAGGAAAGCTGTTCAATCTTTTAAATTTGGCGGGGGTGAGCAGTTATGAAAGAGATTATGCCTTTAATACTGTAGTTTAGGTGAGGTTACCTTTAGCATGATATCTGCCATACTAATTTTGGGGGACATTGATTCACCTTTTCGTACTCATTAGCCCTTAAGCTGCCCGTTCAGTTGAATGTCACTGTACTTGCTTTTGCTTTTCTCTTCGATCAGTGTGAACCTTTTTTTCATGATGGCGTACTGATGCCCATCTCGGAAAAGTTTTCCAAAACTGATACTTCTTGAGACCCATAACTCAAAAGGAAGTTCCCATTTCTCATATTCAGTATTTTCGCTAGGACTACATTTAGTCAATGATCAACTAATTATAGTTTAGGTGGGTTATTTGTGTGTCTTTTGTTGAATTTTAATGGGGAGAAGAATATGGTTTCAGATTCAGTGTTTCCGCTATAATTAAATACTTGAAGATCGGATAAGGTCTTGTGGAGAGCACTGACGAGTCCCTGAGGGTAATCATTAATCACCCTTTTTTCCTAATCCCTAATTCTTGGTGTATGCAATGTTTTAAAAAACAGTCTAAGCGCGTGCCTAGGCCTTAGCGGTACTTACGCCTCCCGCCTATTGGGGGTTTTACTCCTCCCTCCTGAAGAAGAAGAAAAACACCAGAATTTAATGTTGGTTAAACCAACTTCAGCCTACATCCACGGAGCACAATACGAGAAATTACTATGAAGGGGGAGATCCTTACAAGAGGAACCACTCATCTCACGTCTCCAAACCTCTCAACCTCGCATACGTGGCCACCCTCACATATTCTCTACAAAACCCTAATCTCCTACATCTCTTCTTCTTGGTTTTGTCCCTTTCTCCCAAATTCACCTGAACTCTCACGTGTTTACTTTTTCCCCTCCTCACACGACTCTTTTCAGGAACCCAATCGTGCCTTTGTTGGCTAAACCACCACCTTCGCAACCTATCTGTTTCCAAACTTGGCCACTGCTACTGGCAACAGCCGTCGCAGAACTAATACACTGCTCGCCATCGAGATCTCTAGCGATCCTCCTGCTATTGTGCCTCCTCTATTGGTCGTTGTTTGACCCTCCATTGCTTCTTGGTCCTCAAGGCCATTAACGTCCTTAAGCCCCGTCGGTCGTAGCCGTGCCCTCTTTGTCGCCTTCGATTGCCTGTGTTTTGGGTGTCTGTAACCCATAAGTGTTTTCACTATGAGAACACCTACAAAGAATTCTGTTGTCGTCAGTGTAGGTTGACGTGTTTCCCTTCGCCAACAGGATCACACCGCTCGAGCCTCCACGATTCCTCGAACCTTTTTGTGATGCCACTTGTTAGGGATTTTACAAAGCAAATGAGATTTCATGGCGTTTGGTTGACTAAATTCGACCTATGTCTATAGGGCACAATGCGAGAAATTCACTGTATAGAGGGAGAGTCTTACATGAGGAATCAATCATCTCTTGTCTCTCAACTATCAACCTCACAGACGTAGTCATTTTCTCATATTTTCTTGAAAGCACTAATCTCTCACATCTCTTCTTTTTAGTTTTCCTCCAATAATAGAAGACTACATATAGAGAAACCAAAATTCTATAGATAGCTTTACTTCCCAGATTGAATAAGATACAAACTCATCATGATGAAACCTCGTCTCCTAATCGTAATAGAGCTCTAACCCTATCAAACTATATAAATGACACAATCTTAATTCTCAACAAAAAGTATTGGTTTCTTTATATATAATCTTTTATTATTGAAGGAAAACCAAGAAGAAGAGACGAAGAAGTTAGAGTTTTGGAGAGATATAAGAGCAGCTACATATGTGATGTTGAGAGATTGATTGATAGAGATGAGTGATTCCTCTTGTAAGGTTCTCTATCTACATAGTGGATTTATCGTACTGTACTCTGTAGATGTAAGTTAAAGTTGGTCGATCGAACTACATTACATCTCGGTTTTTTTTCTAGGTTGTGCTAGGTCTTGGGAGCCCCTTCAAGAGCAAAGCGGCTTATATGGATTGCACCGCATAAAAAAGGAGTATATTGCTTGTTTAGGTGTAGTAATGGATGAAAAGAATGAGCCATGTGGAAATAGATTGGACCAAACTTGGATATACATCGAGGATAGGATTTTAAATTTTCCAAAAGAAACTTCCCTTTCTTGATATAAAAACGCCTAGTGCCACTTAAGGGTCTGCCTACGCCTACGCCTTAGGCGCTTTGTCCAGTGCTTAGGAGCGCCTAGCGGTCGCTTTCTAAAACAGTGGGTGTATTTAATGTTTTAGCAGTATTATTGCAGTTGTGATCAAATTAAGCATACTATTTGAGATGGAATGTAAACTATAATATCAAAGGGGATACCAATTCTGATATCTGCTTTAGTTATTGCTTATACGTGGTAAGTTATTTTTAGTTCTCAGTTGCCAATATATGCTTCATAAGAGCTGTTGACGGAAAGTAAACTATAATATCAAAGGGGGTAACGGTAATCTAAAAGGATGAACAGCTTATAGAGGAGATGCCATACTGAATGAAATGGAAGGAAAGGTCAAGAAACTAACAAAAGTTCAATTGATTGCAAATCACCCAAAGAAGTCTATGTTACAATAATAAAGATGTGGACCAACAATGTTATGTCAAGCGAAAGACAACAGGATGATTTGTGGTTCTCCAACTCCGATCTACAATGAAAACAAGGATAACTTTTTCTTGGTGTACTTGGAGATGTGAAACTGTTTTTGTTTTCTTCCCTCTATTTTCGAAAATGAATAGGTGCAAGAATGCTAGAAAATGAGCCTGCTGAATTAACTCTTTCCTTCCAGCTGTACATGTCATCTTCATATGTAACCTTGCATAGAAGTTGCCTTCTTATTGTCATTAAGCAACACAATAAGAAAGAATGTATATTGTAACGTATAAATATCAGGTCTTAGGGGAAATTATGATGATGAGCAGTAGACATGATCCCTTGTATAAATTGAAGTTATCAAAATTCCTGTCGAACCTTCTACTTTACCTCCTCAAGGATTTTGATTCTTTGTTTTGATTTAGAGAACACTTATTGACTCTCTTCTTCGATAGTAGACTTGAGAGCAATAACATGAGCTGCTTTGCTCATTAGACCACACCATAAACGTGAAAGTGGAAGTATGTGCATTAAGTGATGGGCACTGTTGAAAAAAGTCCCGCTTTTGGCCACTTAAGCGCTTCGCAAGGCGGAAGGTGCCTCACCACTCTTCTTTCATCATAAGCGGTCAACAAAAACAAACATGGCGTTTTCTACTCGAAAACACGGTAGAAAGCTTGTAAAATCATTGTTAAGCACTTAAAACTCTAAAAAAAGCTTAACAATGCTTTGAAAAAAATAAAACCGAGCTTATATATCCCGAACCTGAATGTGGCCTAAAATAAACCCAAACCCTAACTCCCGCTCTAGGCGCCACCTCATTACCTCCAGCTAGCTCTGCTACCTCCCACCACAAAATCCGCTCACAAATCCCTCTCCAGCAAGCTCCGCCTTCATCATCACCACCACAACATCACCATCTTTTGAGCTCCTCATTGAAGCTCACCATCACCAACCACCACAACATCACTTTCTCTTGAGCTCCTCATCGAAACTCACCATGAGCATCGTCATGTCCAACCAAAGCTCCTCCACCTCCTCCAGTCGAAGCCACTTCTTCGCAATCATCTCCTCCGACAAATTTATACATATTCAAACTAGACCGCTTTTTTACTTGGCACTTTTTGTCGTTTTTGCCGCTAAAGCCCCAGGAAGCCTAAGTGATGCCTCACCGCTTCGCTTTGTTTTCTGCTTTCCGCAACCTTGGTGATGGATGCATGTAGATATTAACTCATGCATCTGATACTGACACGTGTATTTTAGGGAATTTTTGGGAGCATTGGATTTTAAATGTTTTATGTTTTTGTCCAACAAGCTGTCTTAGATGCCTATATATTAATATTTATCTTGTCACTAGGATAGTATTGGATGGATCTAATATTATTTTCTGAGAAAGGAATGTGTGAAGCAGTTCAAGCAACATTCATTAGCCTACAATTAGATTGACAAGACATGAAGATATCCTGTTTATTTCCTGATGCAACATGTGATGCATGAGAATAGATCCTCTTGATTATATCCTGGTGGGTCTACTACAAACTTCTCATCGAAAAGAGGCATAAAAATTCAGTCTCCTTGGTTGCTCACGTTTTCCATAATCCATGACTTTTACATGTACTGTTGAATCATTTATCACGGGTACTTCGCTTAGAAAAATCAATCTTGTTGATTCTTGTCATTCATAATTCTTAGCAGTGGGAAAATATCAATGCATCAAGCTTTTAAATTTTTACTTTAGTTTCCTTTCTTATATTCCTGATATATTTGATGCACCTGTCATTGATGCCTTTAACTGTAATTTGCTCATAACTTGCCCAGTTATCACCTCACAGCATGCCCACACTACATGTAGCCCTAAACTTGATACGATGCACTAAATCAGGTTGATTCTCTATTTTGCAGTATCCTTTGCCAAGTTTCATGCTTCGTTCTGCCCTTTGCCAATCCTTCTCATGCTGCTTTGTATGTTAACTTTAATTCACTCTTTTCCTCATATCTTTCCTCTAGCTTTTGTGGATCACCTGTGATTGTTTCAATTGCTACTCATTTCTATTTTTCCCCCTTACCAATTTCACATCCATCTGACGCCTTAATACTTTACCTAAATTGCTCTTTTTTCCTTTTCTCTTGTTTAATCATCTGCTGGGGTGTTGCAGATACTTGAATGATGAAAACTACTTTGGGGGCTTCGAACGTGAAGATCTAGAACAACTCTTTGAGGCCATGCGATCCAACTACAAGGCATGGGCCTCTGGATTTGCACCATTATGCATTGGAGGAGACATGGAATCTGTAGCAGTTCAAGAATTCAGTCGTACTCTCTTCAACATCCGACCAGACATCGCCCTAAGCGTGCTACAAACGATTTTCTCCAGTGATTTAAGAACAATCCTAGGACTCGTCACTGTCCCTTGCCACATCCTCCAAAGCACCAAAGACCTCGCGGTGCCAGTCGTGGTGTCTGAGTATTGGCATAAGAATCTTGGAGGTGAGTCCATTGTTGAGGTTATGCCTTCGAATGGACATTTACCGCAGCTGAGTTCTCCTGATACTGTGATCCCTGTGCTTCTCAGGCACATACTATATGATATCGAGGTTTAATTTACAAGCCTTGATTTCAGTGAATGGGTACATTTGACATGGTCACCTAAATTAGATGGTCATGGTCATGTAAGTTGGATGGTGTATGTAATTAGCTAGTGTGCTTCGTCAAATTTCTATGACTACGTAGATCTGTTGTATTGGTCTAATAAGGTTTAGCAGCAATGTATGTATATTAAAGTTACTGGAAGTCCCTTGTGCAATATATCTTCGCTACCTTTCTTTTATGCGAGAACTTCTTAAAACTAAAGTTACTGGAAGTCCCTTGTGCAATATATCTTCGCTACCTTTCTTTTATGCGAGAACTTCTTAAAACTTAATATTTGTGAATGTTTACCGTTAATATATCTTCGCTACCTTTCTTTTATGCGAGAACTTCTTAAAACTTAATATTTGTGAATGTTTACCGTTGGGTTACGAACGGTTGGTGTTGCATTTGTTAGTGATATTTACATGTGTTTCTGGCCAATTTCTGCTTGTTGCCATGGCTTGTGTAGCAATCATGGCTTGTGTTGTTGTTTGTTTAGATGGGTTAATCGCGGATAGACCTCCTGTAGTGTCACCCATTTTGCGGATGGACTCCCTGTAGTATCGTCCATTTACTGACAGTCCCTCATATTTCTAATTATGCGGATAGGCCTACGTACTATTTGCTCAAGTGTAGTGAACGTTTTTTTTTAACTCTCCTATGAGCAAAAAATAATGAGCAATTGGGCATCTATCTCTAGTAATAGAACCGCAGGGGGTCTATCTGCTTTAATAGAGCTTTTTCACTTTCAGAGAGTCAAAAAATTTTCATTCAAGGGTCTATTTGCACAATTAGAAGGGCCAATCAGCAATGGGGTTGACGTTAACGGGGCCTATCTGCACTTAACCCTATTATAATCCATTGTTTATTAATAAGAGACATCAATAACTATGCTAACATGTTTTGATAGTGACTAAAAGAATCATTTTATAGCTCTTAATTTGACTACATGTATAATGCTTTCTTTTGAGATTTCAAGAAATGATTAGAGTTGATATAAATATGCTCTGTTAACTAATATGCCTAGTTACAGGAGATATGATGAATCAATATCCTGGAAAATCAAATCAAGAGGTATATCTTATATCTTCTATCTATATGATGAATAAAACTTCAAAATCACCGAAGTTATATTAAAATTAGTCCATCACATAATTAAAATTACTATTAGGTCCCTTTATCCTTATAAGTTGCTTCAAATCAATCCCTCCTCTTGCTTCCTGTACTCTTTCCTGGAAAGATTGATTTGAAAAATGACTTAAACAAGAAGGGGACCTAATGTCAAATAAATGACTAATTATAAAATAACTTGATAAATATATACAACACCTACTAGGCAAAGTTGTGATTCTAGACTTTGTAAAGTCTAAAAAGAATCTTGCTGACCCTTTGACTAAGGGATTATCCAGGAGTGTGGTTCTGGATTCATCGAGGGAGATGGGGTTAAGCCCATAAGAGAGGTCACTGACAATGTCAACCCAACCCTTATTTGGAGACTTAGTCCCAATGTTGGTTCAATGTAGTAGAAACAAGCTGGACTAGTGACACTCGTGTGGAGCATCGACCCAGATATATTCATATATCACTATGTAGCTTGTGCTACTACCCCTTCTCTATGATGACGATGCGCTTATGATACAGCTGGCTAGGCTGAGTTTTACTCTTAATAAGTCCAACGCGTGTATTGTGGGGGGTATTAAATAAACAGCTGTAGTACCATTTGAGGACTTACCTACGTGAGAGAGGGTGTGGGGGGGGGGGGGAGGGGGCTGGGCTAACCCTTAGAAACTCTCATGAGTCGGTTATTGTGAGCATGACCTTTATCGCTCAACCTGTTTTGCTCAATAGATAAAGACGTATTGTGTGTGTTTTTATCAATACCTGATTCAATGGGCCTAATTCAAGGCCTAGTCCATTATGTCCCTCAGGTGGCGATAAACTCACTAAGGAAATGTTCAAATCCGGAAGCAATCTCTCCCGAATTCACGATATGAAAGGTTGCCCAACCTATAATTGTTTTATGATTTCTTGATTTATTTATTGGTTTTGAGTTTTCAGTCAATATTGCCTTTTGGGGAAGACTGTTGGATATTTATTGAGAAAAGGCAAATTTGCCTTTGTGTTTTAGTCCCACATCAGAAATTGAAAAAGAATTCTCTCCCTCAACCCTATAAATGCACACCCCTTTTTCACATTCCAAGGAGAAGAAGAAAAGAAAAAAAATAAAGCTTTTCTCCTCTCTTTTGGTTTTTAAAGAAATTGTTTTTCCCTCTATAATTTTTGTTATTAATTTTATGGGTAATTTTCTTCATCTGAGCTGAAGCTCTGTACTCTCGCCCGAGTACGGAGGCCGGCCGTTTCCATGGGCTTTTATCGTTAGGGGGAGGGAACCATTTGCGCCAGGACGATAGGTGGGTTTTCAATCTTCTAGGGCAGTGATTACACGACTGCTTCCCGTCAGACCTGATTTTTCTAACTTATCTTATTTATCTTTCGATTTAATTCTGATTTAATTCGAATTTAATTTACATGCTATAACTTTGTTTTTATAAATTTCCAACAGCTTTTGTGGATCACCTGTGATTGTTTCAATTGCTACTCATTTCTATTTTTCCTCCTCACCAATTTCACATCCATCTGTCGCCTTAATACTTTACCTAAATTGCTCTTTTTCCCTTTTATCTTGTTTAATCATCCGCTGGGGTGTTGCAGATACTTGAATGATGAAAACCACTTTGGGGGCTTCGAACGTGAAGATCTAGAACAACTCTTTGAGGCCATGCGATCCAACTACAAGGCATGGGCCTCTGGATTTGCACCATTATGCATTGGAGGAGACATGGAATCTGTAGCAGTTCAAGAATTTCAGTCGTTCTCTCTTCAACATACGACCAGACATCGCCCTAAGCGTGCTACAAAGGATTTTCTCCGGTGATTTAAGAACAATCCCAGGACTCGTCACTGTCCCTTGCCACATCCTCCACCGAAGTGTTGTGCGCGGCGCGGAAGAGGGACAACCAAACGGACGTGCTTCGAGAACCAAATCAAACAAACGTCGAGATAAAGGCCATACAAATTAAAACAACGGCACAAATCCAAACACAATAGTTTTACGTGGTTCGGTAAATTGGCTACGTCCACGGGGCAAGAAGGGGATTGAGTTTTCACTAATAGAGAAGAAGAGTACAAACTGAAATTACAAAACGCTCAAACCAATCAACTAATCTCACCAACAAATCTCTTAATCTCTCCAAATAAACCCTCAAACAATTGCTCAGAAAAACTCTCCTTTTTTCTGTGCTCCAAATATCCCCAACCAATCTTAATCTCTCCAAATAAACCCTCAAACAATTGCTCAGAAAAACTCTCCTTTTTTCTGTGCTCCAAATATCCCCAACCAATCTCCAAACAAAGCCAAAGAAACCATAATTCGTATGTTGGTATTTATAGCAGACACCAAACCCAATAAGACTAGGAAACCAAAACTGGGCCTGACCCCATACGCGGTCGACCGTCACGCTCGACCGCGACCAACAAACAGAACCTAGAAACTCCTACAGGGTCTGGCGGTTGACCGCGACAAATGACAGAGCCCAAAAATATCCTACAGAGTCTCGTGGTCGACCGCGCCAAATCTAGACTCCTCCCAGAGTCTGTGCACCTTCTACCTTCGCGGTCGACCGGCCTTGCGTCGCGGTCGACCGCGCAGCTCCCAAAGTGACTCCTGCGCTTCCAAAACCTGTTCTTTACCAAAATTCACAGCGGTTTCTTCAATTCTCCACCTCGGCGAAGTTTCTACCAAAACTGAGCCAACACCGACCAAACCAAAATGCCTCACTTGTTGCGTCCAGTACACCATGACAACAGACTCATGACAACAGACTCCATCCACAACAAATCGAGACCCAAATGGGAGTGCGAACACTCAACAAACGTCGGTATCTACTCACCAAATCGGCTGCATCAAAACTGGCTGCCTACGTATCCTCTTGCCCAAGGAATCAAGCATTCACGTAGTTCACCCAAATGGCCTCCAAAGGCCCTCAAACAAAATAGTCTGCAACTCTTCACCAATATCATCTGCATCCAAATCCAAATGATCCCTAATCTGTGTCACCTCAGCTAAAATCCCAAATGACGTAGTATGATCTGGAGTAGGTGGAATAAACTCCACCCAACGTGGAGTAGCATCACCTCCACCTACTGCGATATCCAAACGACCTGATCAACACTCTCCACCCGCTGAGAGTCAAAAGTAGAAGCTCCCAAACGATAATCAAATGAGCCTCCGAATCCCAAACGCGCAATCGGATCAAATCTCGCATCCTCGATGTGATCAAATACTGGGTAACCAAATATCCGACGCCAACCAAAATCTAAAGCAGCTCTACCAGATCCAATAACTCCTAATGCAGCAGACGGCGACCTATGCATAGGATGACCCAAACATGTCGAAGCCCGCACACCAATGTCAATGCTCGACATCAAACGCCAATCCCCTCCAGAAAGGAACGACCCATCAAAACTGTCATCTCATCTCGTTGCCCTAATGTTTCCTCTCCAATGAAGTGTCTCAAACTGCCATGAGCTCGGCATAAATACAGTAGGTCCCTCTTGTACCTCCTTCTACAACCAGAATGAAGTACCTTCACCTTACTCCCAATACACTAATTCAACTGTTATTGACTATTAGGACTTCAAAATCAACGGGACTTGGTTGCAACCCACAAATGCCCAATACAATCCCCTGTAGGCGTCTAAAATTACCTATGAGAGCTTGCACGTCAGCTCGCGCGTGTCGGTCAACACGTACGCGTCAATCAGTTCATGCGCGTCGATCAACATGCGCGCGTCAATCAGTTCGTGCGCGTTGGTCAATGCGCGCGTGTCAACCAGCTCGCGCGCGTCAGTCAACACGCGTGCGTTAATCAGCTCGTGCGCATCGGTCAACACGTGCACGTTAATCAGTTCATGCGTGTCGGTCAGCATGTGCACGTCAATCAGCTCACGCGCGTTAGTCAACACACGCGCGTCAATCAGTTCGTGCGCATCGGTCAACACGCGATCATCAACCAGCTCGCACGCGTCGGTCAACACACGCGCGTCAATCAACTCGTACGTGTCGGTCAACACGCGCTTGTTAAACAGTTCGTGCGCGTCAGTCAACACACGCGCTTCAACCAGCTCGCGCGCGTCAGT